GGCGTGCTTCTATCTTTCTCTCTCTCTGTTCCTTCCCGATTCTCTGCTGCAACCCGTCCCGCCAGAACGTCCGTCCGTCTCCCTCTTTCCCTGCTTCTTTCTTTCCTCGTGTGTTCGTTGTTTCCCGCGGCTCACCTCCATGAAGCGATTTCGAATCGTAAGGACCATCCAAGACCATCTCGCACGACTGTTGCCAGTATATGATATTTCGCGTCTCCTTTCTTCCGATTTTTCCCTTTCCTATTCTTGCTCGGTTCAGGACCAAGTTTTCGAAGGGTCACATTTTCTCCATTTTGAGGGAAAAAGAATTTCAGGATTTAACGCACAAAATCTAATTATTTCATTAGTTGAAATATTTGCCATCACACATATTCAAGGAAAAAACAATTTTTTTCTTGTGTTGTGCAAAAACAATTACAAGTAAAAATTTATTATAATATATTTATATCGCTATTCCATCGGTATAATTGAATTAAAACCGCTAAGCAAGTTTTTACCATATATTACCTTGAGGTAATTTCGTAAGATATTTAACGATTTTCGCGGCGCTCAGCTGATGCCGCTTGATGAGGTTTCATCCTTCGCTTCAAGCCGTATTATCACCGGCGCCCCGAGCTTACCATGAGCTAAGAGGGTGCTACATCGAAAACGGACGGCGATGTAAATTTCTCCCCGCCACTGGCTCCAGGGTGTCGGAAACAATGAAGGGCGATGTTACCCCAAGACGATCGATCGCTTATGGGGTTCGGCGCGGTGACTGAAGTTCAAGGGGAAGCTTGGTCGAAGGGCCGAGAAAAAGAGAGAGATGCCTGGCTTTACAGAAATATTATATTCTCCCCTTGTGACAGTTTGTTAAAAAATATCTAACGGTAGACTTCGTCACGCATTCTGATCCAGCCCGAAACATACTTTTTGCAAAGATTCCTCTTCTAATCTACAATCCCATCATTATTGTAAGGAATATTTTTTGGACACTTTAACTATTACATTTTTATATTTTTTAAAAAAATTGATCCGAAAGAGATTGAATTCACAACTACGGCAAAGAGAGAAATATTACGCGAATATTCGCAGAAAATATTCGTGGATATTATTGATGGTATAGCTCGAATTTACATTTTTTTATATGCTCATCATTTCTCTATTCAGATAGAAAATTTTGTCATTATTATACGAGATACTAATTTCGATATATAATCCTCAAATCTGAAATATTTATATCTATGGCATAGCATTCATCTGTAATTTTCTATGTTTTCTCTGTCACAATAACAAATCTCAATATCATCTCAATATGTTTGTAAAAAAGAACATCATCAATATTACAGGAAATTCGCGATCGTGATTTTCATGAATTGACTATTGGCAGTGTATTCCGAAAATGCTTGCCAACAAATTCTGTTCAATGGATGCATTTAATTAAAAATCCAGAATCATTTCATGTCGTACATAAAGGGAATGAATGACGTAGTAAAGGATTAGCAAAAGTATGAAATATGTTGCACAAACCGCTCGGATGAATTGGAGGGGAGTGGTATAGAGAGATGCAATTATTTAAAACAGCAATCACGGAAATGAAAGATGGATTGGATAGGTCTGCCATCTCTCGCTCGAAAACGAAGAATATTCGGTTGATTCTGCCAGGCGGAAAAACTCTCTAAAAGGCTTTCCTTCCGGGCCGACAGGCAGCAATGCCAGCACAAAAATCAAACGCGCGCGCGAGGGTTCGTCCGCGTTTCGTTTTTCCCTCGCTTGCGACTCGTAATCCCGACGGTTTTATTTGTATGCTCGGCTTTTTGTATACAGTGAGATTTTCTCGCGGCTTTTTTCGTGAGGAAATTAACTTAACGAACATATTGTATTTTCACACTTCAAAGATAGATGGAGAAAATTAATTTTTTTAAATTGAGTCTATATTTGTAACTTTTATTATAAATTTACAATTGTATAAATATATTTAAGTTTGCATTCTCTAAAAATATTTGGTTATTTATTTATATTTTTTTTTATTTTAAATTGTAATTTATTCTTATGAGTAGAGGAATAATGCAATCAATCGATTAGTTTCGAAGGTAAGGATAGAAAAACGAAAAAAAACGCTATGATCTATTCAACAATGAAGAGTAACGAATATTAGTCCCATGATTAAACCCTTCGATTAAACTTATATAATTTAAAATTTATGAGTTCATCGTTCTCTTATATTTGCCATTCCTAAAATTTATCCGACACTTCGTTGCGTAAAAAATGAATAACTCGTTACAAAAAAATTATTTATTGAAAGAAAATATTTCTGTTAGAATCCTGTAAAGTAATGGAAGAATTCTGTATTTTCTTAAAGAATCTAGCATGTCTCGTGAACATGTAAATCAGCCACAAATAATTTTAAATTATCTATATCTCTCTCTCTCTTTCTCTGCATACTATGTTTCTTGACATTTAATATTTTATTTTTGTATGCGCCCGAATTCACATCATATTAACCGCTGATAATAATAACCAAATAATAATAATTAGTATTATTATTAAAAATAACTACGATACGTATGTTTAAAATTGCGTTGTCATGAAAGCTAGTGTGCGATGACTAACGGATCTTACGCAAATACGGAAAATACTGCCGCGTGTAAATGACAATTGGCGGCGATCATACATCGCACAATAGCACACGTGTACATACAATGTGTTTTCGAAATAATAGAATCGCCGGGTAATCACGTGCGTTCCGGTCAACTCTCCGCACGGCCATATTGCTCCGCGCGTTAAATCATATTAGGTTTATTGTCGCGACATGATCGATGAACGACGTCATTCGGCGATTACGTAGATTACGTCGAGGATCTCTATATTTGCTCACATGCGCTAGCGTAGATGTAGGTAAAATCTGTGCTGGCCCCACCCTGTCCAAATCGGCCATCCCGAAGGTGAATCCTGCACGTCCCTTCGGAAGGACCCTCTTGAAAATTCGCCGTCGTCTTTTGTGTTTGTCGCGACGTCGAGAGAACTACTTTCGACGGGGACATTTGTTATTGGCTCGGATGATTGATTGCCTCTTTTCGATAATAGTCCGTTTATGTTAAAAGCGAAAGGAAAATATGCGGGGGAAAACCGTGCGAGGTCACGGCGAATCGGACATTGAACATCACCGGATTTAGCTCGTAAGGTCTTAATAAATTTACGTGATCGATTTATGATAGTTGCCTCAATAATAACAATGTCGGATTCATGTAATAATAACTTTTTTTTAAGATTTCTAAAAGAATTATAAAATATATAACCCAGTTAAATGTGATGTGATTACGTTTATTAATCATTTAACTTTTTTTACAGTACAAACATCATTTTGTGCGTACCATTTCATTTTTATTGCTTAATAAACAAGAATCATGTCTTTTAAATATAATTTAATTTCGAGCAGTTTCTTTAGTTTTATTATAGAAAAATATTTTTATTACATAAAATATGATAAGATTTTTTTCAATATTTCAAGAATCTTCTAATTAAAAAACTTTATAGATGCGTAAATAGAGATATATCCTCTTCCTTTCCTTCTCCCTTCTCTCTCTCTCTCTCTCTCTCTCTCTTTCCCTCTCTTTCTTTAATTCTGTTTAGCGTAAATTAGATTTGATAAATTCGAACAAACTAATGTCCATACAAACAGCATGTATACGAGATTTGCGAGTATTCATCTCGACCAATCCCTAGCTAACTTTCTACCCTGTTTAAGTGTCTCTTCTATGGGACGCAATCTTTCCATTTCTTATTCTCTTCTTCGCGGTTAGCCGGTCGCGCGGGAGAACAAGCTGTTACGCCCGAGGTAACGGAGGGCCCTTCTTAAAAGAGGGGCAGCCCGTATCGCGAGTTTAATATTAGAAGCATCTCTCTACCCCTCTTTCAAGCAAGATATGGCGTGGTTTTTCGTGCACCCTGTCTGGATCCTTCCATACCCCCTCTCCTCTCCGCGAAACCCGCGCCACTATGTTCCTCGCGACTGGCTTCGAATTTTAATAACTCCGGGAATGCTCAGAATCCAATAATGTCCTCTCGTCCTCTCTCTCTCTCTCTTTCTTTCGTCCTTTTTCGTTGTAGACACGTAGTGTTGCACACACACGTTCGTTTATGCGGCTTACATACGGAAGAGCCAAGCTCGCGCGATTGTCCGCCTTATCCGCTTCTGAAATTCCGCCCCCGCGAACTCGCGACCCCGTGTCCTGCCTGATCCTCTCCCGTCTAGCCGTCGGCAACGCTCCTTGAAATCTCATATTCCGGAATGACGACGCGAATTCACCTCCCTCTCCTCTTACAGCCCCCGGTGCGCTGTCCTGTCGGGATATTCCTATTTCTACCCTCGAAATATTCTGTATGTACCCACGATCATTATGAATACGCCTGCAGAAATGACGTACGTAATTGGAAAGTTTTATGAAAAGCCGAGTGTGAGTTTTAAGGAATGATATTGTAAACAAAATGGAAATGATTACTTGCACTCGAAGAATATTATAACTGCTTCAATTTTAATATCGGCAAGATGAATACTTAATTGAATTTAAAAATGATTATATAGATAATTAAATATTCAGTTAAATATTTAAAAATTCAGCAATTTTGTAAATTGAAATAATGTATCTTAAATATTTAGACAATTTTTTTTAGAATAAATACTAATTATTTTTTGCAGTGTTTATGATGCATTGTGATGAAATAATACAAATTTATAGAAAACATTCATTTTATAAAATTTTGAATGTATAAAATCTCTCGATTATGCGCGATTTATGCTTAATAATTACATATAAATATACATATAAATATACATATAAATATTACATATAAATATATCTACTTTACAATCTATATCTACTTTACAATATATTTGAAATGGAATACAATACCATTTTACACTACTGTCGGACTTTTCGATTGACTGCCTTTAATTTTGCTCACCATCGTCTTTTCATTTTTTCCCTTCGTGAATTTCAAGAGTTTCCCTTCTGATGTAGGTGAAATCCATTTGGGATCTCTGGATATACCTGCGGCGATGGATCTCCGCGACGGGGTCCGCATCGTCGCGACGTATAGGGACGTTTCCCGATGTCACGGAACGAAAACGGAGAATTGAGATCGAAAAAAAGGAGAAAACTCTTTTCCAACGCCGAAGTGGTTGGAGAACGGCTGAAGGGATGAGCTGCGAGGAATAAGGTAAGGATAATCGAAGCAATCGAACGCGGTGCCGTTCGTGGGAGACGAGGGCGTTGGGCCGCGAAATGAATTCCGCCCCTCGACGGAGGGTGGAAGAAAGAAGAGCGCCCGTCGCGACCGTTCGCATACTCGCGTGCGATGCTGCACGTATATGCGAAAAGCACACCAGTCTCGCTTGTGAGGGCGGCCAGGGCTGCTGGGAGAATGATAACGTCGCGTTAGAAACGAAGATTTGTGAATACATTAGAGAAAATGCGTGGAGGAGGGCTCGTGCAAAGGGAGGATATAGCCGAGGAATAGCGGGGTGGTTTGTTCCCGGAGGAAAATGCTCCGGAATCCTCCTTCGCATCCGCGCACGAGTATTTATCTTCCACCGATCGCACTAGGGTCGCGTCCCTGGAAAGTCAACGAACTTTGTTCTCTCTTCCTCTCTCTCTTCTTCTCTCGGCGCGACTCGAGAATTGCGAGCAGTGTAATTTTTTTTGTCAACGACTTCTCGCTCTTGGGCTTCCCTGCGGGATTTTGAGTCTCCAGTCTTTCTACCGCCCTTCTATTGAATGCCTTCGCGATCTGGCGCAATTCCCGATTATTTTTTTTTTTTTTTTAGTATAATCGATGAACGCGATTGAAGTTCGAATTTATTACATTTTATCACGTAGCAATCTAGTATTTTTAAATTTCTTTCAGAGACAATATCTACTAAATTTAGCAACATTATTTTTTTAATGTATAGCTAATGGATGATGTTTAAAAGTTGTCTCTTTAAATTAAAGATTATCAAATAATATATTTAATAATTGGAACTAAACGCCATATTTTATTAGAAAAAAATATATACAATTGCAAAAGATCTTACCGATGGCCTTTTCTGGCAACAACAAAGGATTGCAGCTTGCATCTGATAAGAGGTCCCGATTATCGTGCCGTCCGTTCTGCGTGAATTATTGCTCGCGTAATCAGCGATCGGTGCGCTTAAAGAGCACCAAATCTCGCGACAGTGATAAAAAGAGCCGTCGGTATTACGAAGGTGGAGACACCGTTTCGGACCGCGTGTTCCTTCTCGCTCCGTGCTCCGATCCGCCCGTCGAGCCTTCTCTCGCTCGTTCTCTCTCCCGGCGAGAGACTGATGGCGGTTTATATTACGCGGATTCATATTACCACCAATTAAACTCCTATACTACCTCGGGCCCGTGGTGTTCATACGTTATACTGGGGGATGCGAGGACGTTGGTACCTGGTACACGGCTATATATGCGGCCACAAGATCTTATATAGGGTGACCAAAAAACTTGTCTTGATCGAATGAATAAAAATATAGAAAACACGGTACAATTATCGCTATACTTGTCATAATTTTTATACTTTCATTACTTTTTATACTTTCATCGTATCGACAAATCAAGTCCTTTTATATGCGATTATTAATATTATTATTTCTTCTTTTAGTAAAGAATATATAATTCTTTAGAATGAATAATTTATTATAAAATAATTGTCCCTCCCGTTATATCGATAGATTAAAGTAAATTCGAGAAAGTAGCATTTATCATGATTACGTAGGAAGATTCTGATCACGAGAGTTGGTATTTCTTTGTATATCTATTTCTTTTTGTAAAGCATTGACTGTCTGATTAACAACGTGTCAAGCGTTTCCACTTCATCATGATAGCCATTATCGCGCCTAAGGATAACATTTGCTCCTTCGTAAACGGCTCGGTGACCTTTGCGTGCAACGGTCTGTCTTGCGAAAAGTCCCTGGGCGAGGTGACTCGCAATTAGAGGTAAAAGTCATGGTGCCCAGAACGAGCGGAGCATGAAACGCCGGAACGATTGGTGGGGCAGGACAGAGTCACGTGGAATTAATGACGATTTCGATTCTCGATACTGACGATGATCTTCGGTATACAAGGATGAAAGATCAAGGCTGCGTCAAAGATTGCGATTTATTCCATTCTGGATCAAATGAATTCGAAGATTGACACGAACCACGTTACAATTGTTTATCTCGCTGATTGACACAGTAATTCGACATAATAGTCTCATTTTTAAATGTACATGTACTTGCAACATTACACTCGTTTGAAACATTATATATGTCTAATCAATTTTTGAAGCTTAAAAAATATCTATGTATTTTTAATAACATTAAAGATTTACTTTTACAAGAACGTATAAATAATAAAATAGATAAAAAATCTAATTAAAAAATATATTTCTTTATATATATATATATATATATATATATATATATATATATATATCTTGCTAAAATATAAAAACATAACTTCAAATTAGTAGCTAAAGCTTCCATTTTAGTCCAAAGTTCGAATTAAACAAAAAATTAAAAAGAACTATATTTATAATTTTATGTGTCGCATATTTTAATATATGTGTATCTTCTGAGATATGTACTTAATAGATGTGTGAATATTTTTAACTTCAAATATTTCCTGTATTATACACAATGACAAATAAAATTATAAATAAAATTCTGTCCTGAATTCTATTGTAAATTATAAATTATCAAAATGGGTTTAAATCTTTCTGGATAGTTCGACAAATTATAAAGAGAAATCGAAATAGCGGCACAAAGAAATGGCACAGGAATAAATCGTAATTCTTTCCTGGAGCACCCGGTATGTGCGAATGCAAGGATACCTCCGCGAGAGAGGAGACATTAATATTAAGCGTCCCCACCCGAGCAGGAAGATCGCCGATAAGGTTTTTATAGTGCAGCCGGGTGGTAGATTCGTGCACTGCCAAATCACGCGTTCTCCGCCTTATACTGAAATTCAGCGACTGGAATTATCACTGAGATTTAAATGGAGAATATTATTTTTAATCAATGTATACGCGTCAAAGAATATTCCAAGAAACTTAAAAGGGAAAGAAAGAGAAAGAGAGAACAGTGTAATAATAAAATAAAAATATTGAACATTTAATTTTATTGAACATTTAATGCGAGATAAAAATACTTGGATAAAAAATATGGTTTAAAGAAATATGCCCCGATTGTCCGATTAAAACTTTTAACAATCGCATGGAAAGAACTCGTATTATTAATTCATGTTCAAATTGACAATAATAATCTCAATGAAAAAATTATATATGACATTAAAATTTTTAAAATTCGTCAATGCTTTTTACAATTCGCCATTTAATTTCAAATTTACGTTATTCTGATTGACATGAATATGTTTCAAATATTTACATGAAATATGGAAATTTTTTGCAATTTACGTAGATCATAATATTCTTCGTAATGATCTTCGCCTAAAATTAGCAAATTAGATACAATAGACTAGGCTACGAGGAGTCATCAATTTCATTGGACTCCAGGACGGCACCTAAGACAGTGAAGTCCTTTACCCATGTTCTCAGAACTCATTTCAATGCCTTGGTATAATTCTGTGCCAAAAATATTCTGACTGACTAGCGACTCCTTTCACGTAATGCATTCGAAATTTTCTATATTACACGCACGTCGAATTGACCGCACAACGTGGATCCATTATATATCGCTTAAAAATGTAGCTCATTCTATAATAATTTTCCTAGAAATTCGATTATATCTATACAAGTATATCTATGCAAATTAAATTAAAAATGTTCAATTTAAATTTTAATATAAAAAGAAACATAGAAGGAATAAATTTTAACATGATTATTGCATTCATGTGATCTATTTGAAATTTAATTATATAATTTATTACGAAAAGCAAGTTAAGATCGCGTTACTTAGAAAAAGATAAAACTTTACAAAAAATGTAGTTTATTCTAAAGAACTATGGAAATTAGATATTCGTAAATAACACATATTTTTCGTGACATTAACGGTGTAGGAATTATTTTAAATAAAAATTTATAACCGATCGAACGCGATCGTGGGATTATTAATGTGAATTCAATGTTTCATCGATGCGCCAGTTAGGAGGCGGATGGCAATGACTAGGTGATGCGGGAATTCAACGACGGTTAGCCCGGAGCTCCTTCGGGATTGTAAGTTCACTGGCATTGGGATTATCGTGAGGGCAACGATACGTGCGAATCACGTCGCGAGTCACGGCCTCTTTCGTGACCGATGCTCGTGAATGCCGATGGGCGTATTCGTGTGTTCGTCAGAAGGGAAGGATCGATCCTGAGGAGGATCGAGGAGCTGGGGCGTTCATACGGAGGCAGCGGTAGCGGTTTTCTCTCCTGTGGCGATTAACATGCCATTATGACGAAACCGCACATTAAATACCGGTTGCGAGGGAATTAAATAATGATTGAAAGGCGCGTTTATTATCGTCCCGCGAAAGTGAAGAATCACGGTCTAGAATTCTGTCAATCCAATGGTACTTCAGCCTCCCGATCGAGAAAAGAGAATGCAAGATTCTTTGCCGAATGGCAACGCTAAAATCACTGTTGCAATTAGAAATCTTAATGGAGAGTCTCATCGCTTAAATTTATTTATGATATGTTTGTTCTCAATCAAGTTTAAATGACAAGTATTTAAATGTGTAATCTATGTCATAGTTTCATCCAGCTTACAATTAAAATGAAAGCTCTGAGATAAAGAATTCTCTGTTTATTTACATTAAACTATTTAATTTTCTATATATCGTTTTATATAGTTATCTTAATTATTTTTATTTCATGTATCGTTGATTTTGAAAAGCATAAAAATAATATTCGGCTATTAATATTAGTGCAACAGAATTCTGTTATATATATATGTATTGGCAAAGACTGGAACCGAGTAACGTAAAAAAAATTCTAAATCTTCGGCTTTAGGAAGCGCCATATCTTGCATGCCAAGAGTATTTGCGGGGGCGATTGTTCTTTTCTTGTTTCCATAAGTATCTCGCACGAATCGAAACTCTCATCCTACGCAGAAGAGTAGGGGGAAAGAGTAACTTTTAATTCGTCTGCCAAGTTTCCTCGACTGTAAACTCAGCGGCCGCGGCTTGTTTAGCTTTCGTGGGGACCAGGGCGAGATAAATAAGAAGACGAAGTGTCGGCGAGGAAAAAGAAAAGGAGAATGAGGAAGGAGATGGCGGGGGATAGCGGTCTAGAGAAGGAAAGAGGGACAGCGAGTGGCGGGCAAGTGCCCCCTTTGTAGTCGGTGGGTGATAATTTTTAATCAGTGCGTCGTAGCTCTGCCGTGAAGGAACCCGCTCCTTTGTGAGCCTTTTGCGAGGAACCAAGGCATGAAAGGGAAGATATTGACCAAGGATCGCAAGGCGGAAGGACAATAGTTTCGGGATAATTGGAAGAGGCCGGGGGTTCTGGATCGGCGGGCACATAATCGCGTAACCCTGATTTTCAATAGGATCTTTTTGCGCGGCTCTGGTGATCGCGCTCTTCTTTGCCGCATTATCGGTAGTAGAAGATTGTATTGTAATGGAAAAGATGTTTTTTTTGAACATATTCGTGCTCTCGAAATATTCTTTATTAATAACGCATATAAATTCTCTTATGTAGATATTCACATTGTGCGCGTTAATTTTTTAGAATAATTTATGATAAAAAAATTTAGAATAATTTATGATAAAGTAAATGTATAAAATTATTATAAAATTGTATCCTGATCTAAGTGATCGAAGAAA